GAAACTGAAACAACTTGCACAAATAAATTCTAGAACTGTTGCTAAAGGTATATTTTGGGACAGAGGCCTATACTCGTTTAGAATCTGCATTGCAACTTTCAAAATTCAAAATGGCCGATCCAATATGGACGATCAAACGACAAAAATCCTTATAAATGCATATTAAAAGGAATTATTTTCAAGAAAGTCCATACTCCAAGGTTATTTTCGCCGCTGATCACGAATCTGAGGTCAGATTTTCAAAATTCAAAATGGCCGATCCAATATGGCGGTCGAAATTATTAAAAATTAGGCAAATCATTCTGATACTCAGTATTCCAACAGTTTTCGAGTCGCTGATTACGATTCTGAGGGCAGATTTTCAAAATTCAAAATGGCCGATCCAATATGGCGGTCGAAATTATTAAAAATTAGGCAAATCATTCTGATACTCAGTATTCCAACAGTTTTCGAGTCGCTGATTACGAATCTGAGGTCAGATTTTCAAAATTCAAAATGGCCGATCCAATATGGCGGTCGAAATTATTAAAAATTAGGCAAATCATTCTGATACTCAGTATTTTACCAGTTTTCGAGTCGCTGATCACGAATCTGAGATCGGATTTTCAAAATTCAAAATGTCCGATAGAACATAAAGGAAGGATTTGTTGAGTATTGATATTTATTTCTAAGAATCAGTTTCTGCACTAATGGAGGTTGTCGAGCTGATCTTTGTAACGTTGTTTGAGTACATAATTTTCATTTGTTGCATGAATAACAAAAATGATAGACTCAAAATTATCAGAGTTGTATACAGATGAATTTATATTATAATTTTTCCATTAGAATGTCTTCCGATATTTTTTATTTTTTATTTAAAAATCAGAATAGAAACAATAAAAAGTAAGCAGTAAACATTGAGAAGCTTTACTTTGAAAATAAAATAATTTCGAACATAATGTGATGAAAAGGAACAAAGTAATAAATATTAACAAAAAATAATTGAAGATAGGTTGTAATTAAGAAACAGTACAAATGAGAAAATGGAAAATAAAATTTAAAACGAGAACAGCATCAACGAAGTCTACTCTAGTTTAAGAAAAAAGACTGTCTGAATACATGAAGTTTCATACAAATAAAAAATATCTATGTAGACATTCTTTTTTTCACTCATTTTGTTACCATGGTGAAGAGTTAAATAAAATTGTCAACCGTCAGTTCATAATTCACGTATAATAAATTAAATTTATTCCGTTGTTATTGTGGTTGTCTGCTTCAAAATGTCGGTTTTCACTATACAAGTGAAAGAGTTATGTGAATGGATATGGAATGATACAAATAAAAGTAAAACAACGATAGACGTGATAATGAGTAGAATTGAAAAGACGTTTAATTATGATTCTGGTTCTGCACATCAATTACGTACATATATAAATACACATTTTATCAGGCGATATAAAAGGTTCTGGGTTGATGTTCATCGAATGCGTGAAAGGTTTGAAAATAAGTACAAAGAATAGGGCTTTAAAAATATGTATCCTAGATCATGTTAAAAGAATTCCTATTGTTTAAAAAAATTCATAAATTATTGTTAAAAATATCGAATTTTTTAAGCATTTTAAAATCGACTAAAAATTGTTACTCGGGGGTTTTTGGGGGCGCTGATTACGAATATGACATCAGTTTTTAAATATTCAAAATGGCGGATCCAATATGGCGGACATTTTTTTTAATTAATCGGATTCGCTTGAAAATGTTTACTCGGGGGTTTTTGGAATCGCTGATTACGAATCTGATGTTAGTTTTTAAAAATTTAAAATGGCTGATCCAATATGGCGGAAATTTTGTAATTAATCGGATTCGCTTAAAAATGTTTACTCGGGGGTTTTTGGGGTCGCTGATTACGAATCTAGCGTTAGTTTAAAAAAATTCAAAATGGCGGATCCAATATGTCTGACTTTTTTTTTAATTCATCAGATTCGCTTGAAAATATTTACTCTGGGTTTTTGGGGTCGCTGATTACGAATCTAATGTTAGTTTCTAAAAATTCAAAATGGCGGATCCAATATGTCGAAAGATTTTTTTTAATCAATTGGATTCGCTTAAAAATGTTTACTCGGGGGTTTCTAAGGTCGCTGATTACGATTCTGATGTTAGTTTTTAAAAATTGAAAATGGCGGACATTTCTTTTTCTTAAGAATATTTTCTAGCTTATCTATCAATGTCACCATTTTGATTTTTTTAATAGCACATATTGAAAGCTTTACTTTTTTCTACGAAATTATGTTAAATTGAAAATGGGCCTGAACGAATTAATAACTGTATAATTTTTTTGCGCGCGTGTACTCTACGTTGCATAGCCGCCATGCAAAAGTACAATACCGTCCACGAGTATCAGGACAATTACACGCGACTCTATGAAATAACTTGTCATCACTTTTTTAATCATATCTCGGAAATAAAAGGAGATACAAAAAAATTAAATACGGTTAGAAAGCTTATTAAATTCTGCGTAAAATAAACCTCCTTTGAAGTCATTTCGTTAACTATTTTTTGTGTTTTAGAGTAAGAAAGAAATAAAAAAATTATCAAATTCTCTCATTTTGGTCTCTTCACTTCACCTTTTTTAAAAATTTAGAAAAATATAGATAAAATTTTTTTAAAAACACATAAATCTTCGTTAGAGTTTCAGCTTTAAAATAAGCCTTGGAAAATAAAAAAATGTTAAACCGTCATTGATTTATCATTTAAAATGTGAAGCTGTGTTGCGACCGATTGGTGCATTGAAATTCAACAGTGAAGACTCGATTCTGGCTTCGCGTGGCTGCGAATGGGAGAGAAAGCAGGAACGGATTCATGTTGGGGAATAATAAATAATAACGTTTCAAGAGGAATATAAAAAAACTCGAAAGTTCATCGTTCCTCCGCATGAATCCGTCCCTGCTTTCTCTCCCATTCGCAGCCGCGCGAAGCCAGAATCGAGTCGTCACAGTTGAATTTAAATGCACTAATCGGTCGCAACACGGCTTCACATTTTAAATGATAAATCGATGATGGTTTAACATTTTTTGATTTATGAAGACTTATTTTAACCCATTAACGCCCAAATGCACAAAATTTCAAGTCGAACTTTAATAGATGATATTAAAAAAAATGGTTAATTTCTTTCAGCAAATCTATTTATTACGTATTTGAGTGTGCTGCATCCAAATATGACATCAAAAATTGTTACAAAAATTTTTGTGTATCATTTTTTAAACAATTATTGTAAAAATACACAATTTTTTCATGACTTTTTATAAAACATCTAGCAATTTCAAAGGGAAAAATTATTTTAACAGGACCGAAAATTTCATAAATCGTGCACTTTATACCTACTCTTTGAAAATATGCATTGATTTTTTACCCCCACTCCACGTTTTTCAAAATAGCGCCATGAAACACAATTTTTTTTCAAAAATTCTATTCATATTGCTCAACAATATTTATTCCATTAAATGGACCTGAAAATGGGTACTCGGGGGTTTTCGTGGTCGCTGATTACGAATCTGAAGTCAGATTTTAAAAATTCAAAATGGCGGATTCAATATGGCGGATGTCAAAATTGAAAATCAATCGGAATGGCTTGAAAATTGCTACTCGGGGGTTTTCGTGGTCGCTGATTACGAATCTGAAGTCAGATTGTAAAAATTTAAATTGGCGGATCCAACATGGCGGCAAAAAAAATAAAAAATTCGTCAAATTCGTTTGAAAAAGGGTACTCGGAGGTTTTCTTGGTCGCTGATTACGAATCTGCTGTCAGATTTTAAAAATCAAGATTTTGACATATAAGAAAGAGTATCAAAAAATTAATTATCACTAGATTGTTTATTGTTCCATGTAATAGTTTTCTGTGTATTCATTGGGATCAAAATAACTTCAACCAAACAGTTGAAAACTAATAGCCTGTCAATTGTTTTTGGAATTCTTTTCTGGTGTAAAAGAGTGTATCAAACAATTGAAACCACTAGGTTGTTCATTGTTTCATGTACTGGTTTTCTTGATATCTTTTGGGATCGAAATAATATAAGCAAATAATTGAAAATCAATAAAAATAAAAAAAAACCTTAGACAGACGTCAATTGTTTTCGACATTCTTTTCTGCTATAAAAAAGAGTACCAAACAAATGAAAATCACTACGTTGTCCATTGTTTTATAGAATTGTTGTGTGAGATATAAAGAATATATTTCTTTAAATATTTTTTAATCGATTTTGGAACATTGTTAAGTGGTTGGAACAGAGGATTCATATTTCTAATGACGTTGAGAAGGCACGGTTTGCCACCATCAATTGTTTTATGAAATTTTTCTTTTAGAAAACAATTATGAGTTCAATATTGTGTTAAATGTCTTTTGAATCTTCATTGTGTTTAGCGTTTTAAATATATAATATTACTTTACTGCGTATTTAGAATTTGAGCTCATGTCATCGAAAAGAAAAAGGGATACACCTTCAAAAACTCTCCGCGTATGATGCCAAAAAAGCGACGCAAAACTATAAATGAAACTTCAGAAGTTATGGAAGATGATGATCATATCGACGTGATCTTTGTTCAAAACGCTGAAGATTCTGGTGAGTCCGATGATAATCTCAGTGAAAATGAGTTTGATTCCAATGATTCTGATAATTATGAAAATGATATACCTTTTCCTACTGAGTCCTATATTCAAAAATACAGCTATTACACTGCGTCACAAAAGATTCTTGAAGGAAATCATGTTTATGATTGGAAAAAGGGGGAGAAAAAGAATGCAGAATCTTTGTCAAATAATATCTTGTTATCTGATAAAGATAGAAAAAATATATTAGATAGATAGCACACCTGTGGAAATTTTTGAATATTTTTTTTCTTCAGAGTTAAAGGACCATATAATTGAATCTACGCGATTGAATGGACTAGACGTATCTTTAGAAGAGTTCAACGTCTTTTTAAGTATAATCATTTTCACAACCTACAATAAAAGATTGTCTCAAAGAGACATGTGGTCAAAAGACCCTTACTTACGATCTGACATTGTTGCATCAGCTATGAGCAGAAACAAATTTGAGAAGATTAAATCAAACTTAAAATTTTACAAACCCGAGGTCGCAGAAAATACAAAAGACAGGGCATGGAGAGTTCGTTCAATGTTAAACATATTCCGCAAAAATCTTGTTCAATTTGGAATTTTCTCAACGGCGGTATCAATTGATGAAATGATGACAACGTTCTATGGTAGATGTGTTATGAAACAGTTCATCAAAGCAAAACCTATTAGGTTTGGCATAAAAATGTGGGCTTTATGCAGCGCTTCAGGATTTTTATTTGACTTTGATATTTATTGCGGGAAAAATTCCGATAAGGGTGAAGTTTTGACGAATTGTGCTTTAGGCAGTCGTGTGGTACTTCAGATGCTTCAGAAACTCTTGTTCAACATTCCTGCAAAAAAGCTGTTCAAATATCACGTTTATTACGATAATTTGTTCTGTTGTCCTGACTTACTAGTGCATTTAAAAAAAGCGGGTCTTCGGGCAACTGGTACAGTCAGAGAGAATAGAATAAAAGAAAAAAACGACATTTCAAAAGATACTCCCAGAGGAACATTTGCTGTCAAACACGACAAAAACAGTGTTTAAATTTTATCACTGTTAAAGATTCAAAACTTGTGTCGTTATTATCGACAGCAGCAGGAGAAACTCCACTAACTTCCGTAAAACGTTACAATAAAGAGAAAAGAGAAAAAGCCGAACTTCCTTTTCCTAATGCATTTGGTTTGTATAACAAATTCATGGGTGGGGTTGATCTTCATGACCAGCATTGTAATAGAGTAATGCCAGCTATTAGGTCTAAAAAATGGACATGGGTTATTTTTGAGCGACTTATTCAATCCGGGATAACAAATGCATTGGTTTTACGGAACACTGCTGCAACTCAGTCAAAAAAACTTTCAATCAAAGAATTTGTTATAAGCATCAGTAAGAGTTACATGCAGAACAAAAAATGTACAATTCCTTTGATCGAAAGTAGCAATTCTAAAAAGTATTGCTCCAATAGTAAATGTTCTGTGAGGACTCGAAATTTTTGCAAAACATGTAGTCAATACTTTTGTAAAAATTGCTTCGATCAAACTCATAAATAATTAAAAGTTAAAAATAAATAAAACAATTATTTATCAGTAAATATAAACATTTACATTTAATCTAAAAAAAATTCAAAAAACAAAAAAAATATAAAAGAACAAAATTAAAAAATATATAAAAAAAACAAAATTAAAAAAAAATAAAGATTCCATCATCATCTACCTCCACGCGGTGAGAATCGGGCAACACCAGTTTACTGGTGGCTAAAGATGACCAAGAAAACCCCCGAGTAGCAATTCTCAAGCCATTCCGATTGATTTTCAATTTTGACATCCGACATATTGGATCCGTCATTTTGAATTTTTAAAATCTGACTTCAGATTCGTAATCAGCGACCACGAAAACCCCCAAGTACCCATTTTCAGGTCCATTTAATGGAAAAAATATTGTTGAGCAATATGAATGGAATTTTTGAAAAAAATTGTGTTTCATGGCGCTATTTTGAAAAACGTGGAGTGGAAGTAAAAAAGTTAATGCATATTTTCAAAGATTTTGATACTCATAGACGGTAGTGTAAATTTAATAACTTTTATTGATCATACTTTTAATTATATGAAATTGATAAATATTAACCCTTTGAGGGGCACATTATTCATATGGACAGATTTTCTTTACAACTCATGACTTAATATTTTTGGGGTCGCTGATTACGAATTTAAAGTTAGTTTTTAAAAATTCAAAATGGCGGATCCAATATGGCGGACATTTTTTTTAATTAATCGGATTTGTTTGAAAATGTTTACTCAGAGGTTTTTGAGGTCGCTGATTACGAATCTGATGTTAGTTTTTAAAAATTCAAAATGGCGGACATTTTTTTTAATTAATCGTATTCACTTGAAAATGTTTCCTTGGGGGTTTTTGGGGTCGCTGATTACGAATCTTATGTTAGTTTTTAAAAATTCAAAATGTCAAATCTAACATAGCGGTCAATTTTGTTTTAAATTAATTGGATTTACTTAACCCTTTAACGTTTTAAGCTTTAAGCGTTTAGAAATAAAAAATATCTTAATTTTTGTTAAAGTTATAGATTTTAGAAATCAAAAGTGGTTTCGATCGAAACCGCTGGGCGTTAAAGGGTTAAAATAAAAAAATAGGTTAGAATAATTATTTTTCTAAATTAATATCTTCATCAAAATGATTGTTAAAAATGCTGTGAAAAATACTTGTATAAATTTAACATCGATTAACTTTTACAAAAGTTATGATAAATTGAAAACCGTGCACTGTAAAAGAAACTTTTAGTGGTACCACTTGGCGAATTTTTAGCCAGTGTTATAACCCCTTAATGTGGACAATTCGATTTTGTCAGTTTCTATTGAAGGCAGTAAAAATTTCTGATTTGTTATAAAAATTATTTTTTTATGCTTCATTTTTTCAAAAGCCTTATTTAAAAGAACTGAAGACAATTCTTATAAAATAATCAGATTCTATGATACTGAAATCAATATTGCATCCAAAAATAAAGTTCAAGAGAGAATCATTGATTGAAAGTTTATCTTTATCTCCAACCTTATAGAAGAAAGACTTTATTTTTAATTGTCGTACTGCTTCAACATTTTTCGGCAGTATCTTCTAAAAAAAATTTTAATACAATGTACAAAGTGCGTCATTCTTGCCGTTATCTTTTTTAATTTTAATTTAAATTTTAATACATCCCACCATGAATGTTTGGGTCTGTCACCTCTACTGGTAATTTTAATTTAATGGTCTCCCTGGCAAATGTATAAAATCAGTTTTCAAGCAAGTTTGCTCAAGAATTGCTTAGAACTGCTTAGACGACGATTTTTGGTGCAAATCAATAAAATATGATGAAATAAACTATTGCTAATAAAAGTAAATCGGTTTTTCAGTTGATTTGAGCAAGAATGAAGTTAAATAATGGTTTAATTTAATAGTAAATAATGTGTAAAGTGAAGTGCTAACCTGACAGTTCAAGTGCGTGTTTCACATTTAATTTCGTATATAAAAATGTACGAATTAAAGAAAAACTCATTTAATTTGACGAAAGTAATCATTAAAGCATTAAGTTATTACATATTTAGGGCAAATTAATGTTTACTTATTGAATAATAATTAATGTTTTAAGTTGGAGATGTCGATTCTACCGTGAGATGTATGCCTGTATGCGTGTGCGTGTAAAGCGATAATAATATACTACTGATATATCGCAGCGCATTTGTCACGACAGATGGCGGGACTGACATTCGAACTGCTTTCTGTTCGAAAGTTTATTAATCACATTTAAAACAAGAAATAGGAAAACCAACTTTTCAAGATGATTTTTATTTAAATCAATTCTAGAAGATGTATCCTCCTATTTTTAAAATCAATTTTTCTATTTGTTGGTTGAGTTAAACAAAATGGAGAAAAAATTAATATTTAAGAAATAGAACATATAATTCCAACCCCAAAAAGAAAAAATATGTTTTAGACCAATTAAAAAATGATTTAAACTCCTCCTACTTAGAAAAAGCTATTTTTTTATTTGTTGGTTCAGTTGAAAAAATGGAAAAATATTTATAATTTAAAAAAATTGTTAATTTAGTCCTAACCCCGAAAAGATAAAATGGATGTTTAAGACCAATTAAAATAAAATTTAAACTGCTCCTATTTAAAGAAAGAAATTTTTTTATTTGTTGGTCCAGTTATTTATATTATTGACCACCCGTCAATGGGTTTTCTCGCCAGAGAAGAGGGAAACTGTAGAAAACCTCTCCTGTGTAAAACCGGTTTGTCGACAGCCGAGTTCTAACGGTGTGCACTGAACAATAATCGACAGTGCACATAATTATACCTCAACGTTAAACCTCCCGCTTGATATATTACGAAAGTAGTAAGAAAACATCGGGCTATAGCGAGAGTCAAAGCGCGGTCACCCATCCAAGTACTAACCGCACTGGATGTCGCTTTACCTCGATGATCGCAAGCCACGGAGTCTCACCACCGTTATATACCATCGGTGTGTTCGCCGACTTGACAAACATAGTTTTGAGAAAAGCGAGTTTAAAGATGCTGCACCTGCTCTACACCCCACGGCGCGCCTTTCTAGTTTTGTCTGTAACTGCGAAAATATTTCTCGAATCTTAATAAACAATTTTTTCACAACAGGCAAATATATACACTTTAAGAAAATGCAAAAAAAAATCGATTTTTTGAAAATCATGACTGCATATAACCCCTTAAAATAAAGTCAAAAATAAAAAATTGACAATATAGGACTGAATGCTGCTTCTTGGAAGTTTGCGGGGTGTGTAAATACAAATCTGGAATCATTCTTACAAAATTTTTAAATAGCGAATCCAATGTTACGACTATTACAACAATAATATTAAAAATAGGAGAGAAGTACTGTTTTTTGTCGTTTGCCATTTTACCTTTTTTTCTTGATTTTTTTTTGTTTTTTTGTCGTTCGTCTTTTATGTTTTGTCACTTGTCTTTTGTCGTTTGTTACGACAAATATAAAAATATTCAAAAAATAAACAAAATTAAAAAAAATATAAAATATTTTTAAAAAAACATTAAAAAAACAAAATAGTACATTGCGTAACAAGTGTGAACTAGCGGCCTTTTTGGAACGAGCGCTAAGTTTTCGTAACTCGTCTCCGGTGAGGGCGCCGAAGGTGCCCTCACCGGAGACGAGTTACGACAAAGAAGCGCGAGTTCCAAAATGCTGCCACACGTGTTGCGCACGATACTTTTCATAACAAAATCATAAAAAGGCGTTGACACTGAAAAACATATATAACTGAAAAGAATGTTGAGAAGCCCCCCGACTACAAAAAAACCAACTCAAAAGAATAATAATAATATTCGACATTTCAAAGAATCGCATTTTAAAATACCCCAAGCCACCGGACGCGTCAGGGGGCGAAGCCCCCCGAAACCTAATCGTGTACTTCGACGTATTAATAAAAATAATATCATTAAAGAATAAAAACAGAATTTTTCACACCAGTGATCACGAAAAGGAGGTTAGAAACTCTCAGTATTTGACAGATACTGTGTTGCTGCTGTAAGACACGGTAAATGTAGTTAACTGAACGAAAACATAATCACGCCTCTTCTGGACGGAATTGCAACTACTCGAGCGTTACAAAAATACTCGAACAAGCACAAACAAAGCTCTTTTTTGAACTGAACTGTCATTCGCAGTATTTTCGTAACTACGTACTAAAAAGAATAACTTTACATTGGCCTACGAAGAGACAAATAACGCCATTTTTATGATTGCGTTATGAAAAAAATTTTTAAAAAATAGATGAAACTCTGCCATTGCCGGTCTCAATCCCGTATTAAAATAGAGTGTTTCCAAATTCGTAACTTTTTATGTCTGCCATATGGATTTATAGATCCACTATTTTGAATTTTTAAAAACTGACTTTAGATTCGTAATCAGCGACCCCAAAAATCTCCGAAAGACAATTTTAAAGCAAATTTATTTACATTTTATTCGACATATTGGATCCGCCATTTTGAATTTTTAAAAACTGACTTTA